GGGGAGGGAGGGTAGAGAGTGAAAAGCTTTTTGTCATTAATGAAGAGTCCGCCAAAATGTTTAGAAGATAAAAATGAGGTGTAAAGCTGTTCTAAGAATCACTGTTCCTCAGCAGAGGAATGAATGACACTCTTGAACAGATGACTTAAGTCCTTTAATGGCTAGAATTCAGAATGAGAGCACTAGATCACATGTTCATTTAATAAACTCTTAAAAGATAAGTTTTTTAAAATTCCATCTCTGTTTGACTTTTATCCACCTACCACATTTTGTTTGATTCTGAGCTTTGAAGGAGGCAAGGGTTGTCTTTTCGGACAGAGGTGTGCAGTGGCACACAGTATGTGCATTACAGTTAATAGCTGTCTGACTAATTGATATACTGAAACCTTAATGGAGACAAACGACTACAGAAAATCAAAAGGACTGTCAGGCTGTTGAAAGGCTTTTTCTTTGTTTACTTGTGTGTTTTTGGTTTGTTCTTTTATGTTGGCGTCCATCTTGTATATGTTTCTTGAGCCTTGCTTCTGTTTGTTCAGTAGCTTTAACAGCCTGTAGGAGCTTTTAAATTTTCTTGCTATTGTGAGAATCACCTAGGATAGATAAACACAAATAGAACAAATGGAAAATACTCTGGGACTAAGCCTAAAGGAGAAGAGCAGAATAAAAGCAAGAACAAAAGTCCAAAATACTTAGCTTTGTACACTGTTCCTTTCAGCTACTTGAAGCTGCTCTTGGCTCCTTCGTTGCTTGTTAACACTGGAGGGATTTTTGGTTCAGCTGAAAACAAGAACTTGAAGTAGTTCTTTGCCAAACCTTTGAAAACTGGGTACAAGGTCCAGTCAAAGTAACAGTCCTTGTAGCCAGTGGGAATATGAATTGATAAATAATTACTGTGCAATTGAGTAAATAGGAAATGGTTTGCCTTTTGCTTAGCTTACTAAGTAACAGTAATGTCTGTTTCTTAACTAGATTTACAGAATACAACAGTGTAAGGAATGTCAAAGGGGGGTGAGTGTATATATATGTTATTAAACTAGACAGAGATCAGTAAACATAACTATTCTTGCACTTCTGCATTGCAGTGTTATAGCACCAAGCTAGCTTACATCAAGTTTATATATTGGCATGCTTTCACTATCTTTTGGCAGTAGAAACTTTGATTTTTAAAGTCACACTTTATCTTGTAGGACCGTTTACCTCTTGCTGTGGTAGGTAGTAATACGATCATTGAAGTCAATGGCAAGAGAGTTAGAGGAAGGCAGTACCCATGGGGTGTTGCAGAAGGTAAGGTTTTCTCATGATTTTTAGCTGTTTAAAACTTACTAGATATTAGTCTGTATTTGAAATGTTTGAAATGCTTAATTTGAATGTGCTTTGGTCTGGAAATTTATTGAATATACCATTTTGTTATTCTGACAGTCTTGGAACAAGGTAAAGGTTCAGCAACATAAAACTGCAAGCAGATTCCTGTTGAAGCCTCACTGAGGAATTGTAAAACCTTAGTTACTTACTGCAGTTAATGATGAGGCTTAGATTACAACTGTTTGCTAGCATTCTTATTTTAATTTTCTTTGTATAAAAACTATGTATTTCTTAAGTTCTTTCTAGAGTATTCACATTATAAATGTTAATTTGATCAGCTTGACTAAATTCAATCAACATAAATTCAATTCAATTAAAGTTTCTGGAATAATTTGGTTTTTTCCCAAAATATGAGTCTTAATTGCTGGGGTGTGGTAATAGGAAGGTACCTGGTAATGAATTGAATACTTTTCATAGTTCTTTTTTTCTTTTTTATTTTTTTATTCATTTAAAACTTACTTTCTACTGTTATAGAGACTTGAAGATAACTACATGTTCTTCCGGCAACCCTTGCTTGTGCTTTAATGCTGTTCACTTATTTAAAATGGCACATGGCGTGGCTTGCACCATGCTGTATAGTGAAACAATCACTATTAAACTGTTTTTCCATGATCATTGAACTTTTTCCTTGTAGTGTGCATGTATTGAATAAAGAGAAGATTTCCCCCCCCCCCTCACTATTTCTGCCTTCTGAGGGCAATGGACTATAAATGTGATGCAGTGTAAAATAGACAAAAAAACCCCCAACCAACAAGCAGTGTATGGACCAATACTTTAAAGAGAAATGCTGTAGCACTTTGAAGTGTGTGTCTGGCAGGAAATGAGGTTTGGCAGAAAGTAAAAACCAGCTGCACCAGAGAGGATCAAGCTTTATTTAAGGCTCTTGCATTAGTATTCAGAGATGCACAAAATGGTGCTGCTTTTCTTTATTTTAAAACAAACTTCATAAATGTTTCACACTCATGTGATTGTACAACTTTTGGAAGGGAAGAACTAGCTTAACTAAAAGGAACCTCTTTAAGTGGCTTTGAGTCTGTCAGCTAAGGACAGAATACTCGAAGATTATGCTTTTTTGGGAGTATGTCTTCATGTACTATCTGAGCAGAACTTACTAGTTTGTGTAAAACCATGGAATAAAATAATCCAGGAGTGCAGATACAAGGTGAACACATGAAGAGGCTACGTGCTGTAGGATTTTTCTGTAGGATTTTTCTGTAGGATTTTTCTGTAGGATTTTTCTGTAGGATTTTTCTGTAGGATTTTTCTGTAGGATTCACCAAACTTATTTGGGTTATTTTAATTCCTTCATCCTGTTTTTCTTCCTCCTTCCCATGAAAATGTCCATCTCTACTTCAGGGGCACGTTAGAACCTACCTTGTGCCTTTCTTTTTTCTGCACTGTGTGTTACCTTCTCTGTCTGCACGCCGGAGAGTTCTGGGGTGTGCATTTTCCTCCAGTGTCATTTCATTACCTATCAGGGAAATGCCACTCACAGCATCAGCCTCTACTACAGTAATGGGATGATAGGCACGGTGGAATAAGTGGCATCTAATGACAGCTGCCAATGCTCTCTTTTGGTCCGTAGGCGGGTGCATCAAATTAAATACACAACCTTCCTTTGCTTAGTTAATAAAGAACTAAATCCACATTAAAATTAAAATGAAGACTTTTGCAACTCATTTAGTGGCGCAGGGAGAAATAGATTGCGTTAAGTCTGTCTTCTAAAGGTTTTGGATATAGCTGGATCTAGACTGAGGTCTTTAGTTAGTGTCTGATCCTTAATTATAGAACTGTGCTGGCAGGGCCTCCAAATAATCGTCAAGTTAGTTAACCTGGCAAAACTGTGTTTCTGTTGCGGTAGCTTAATCTTCTGTACTGGCTCAGAGAACAGTTTGCCAGTGCATAGGGAGCACAGGAACTTTGCTGATAAGATATATTGATATAGCTATATTGTTAATGCTCTCCTACTGTTAACACACATACTGTTTGAGTAAGGAAAGGCTGGAAGTAATCTGTTGGAATGAACGTAGGAGATAGGTGACATCTAAAAGCCTTACCTCTGTGTAAGGCACATATTTTGGTTGGCATCTCAACAAAAATTTACCTCTTTCTGTAGTTGAAAACGGTGAACACTGTGACTTCACAATTCTGAGGAACATGTTGATAAGGTAAGTAACTTATAGGTAACATTAAGTTTTCTAGTATGTCTGAGAGATTGGAAAGTCATGTATTGGAGAAAAAAGGATTTGAGCTAGTGAGTTCATATTAATATTTTTAGTTGTAAACAGTATCTTACAGTTTATGATATCTTGTTTAACCACATATTTAGCAAGCGGTGGTGGTGATGATTTTTTTAAATAGTTCTCTCTACTTTCTGATTACTTGTTCTTAAAAATTGTGATAAACCAAAGGAACCCGAGTTGTCTGTTAGTGCTGATGTGTACTTAGTTGTAGGCATTTTTTTTTTTTAAATTTTCAGTGCTGCAGTTGTCTAAAGCAAGACTGCCTGTGCTGCGTTGTATTAGGCGCTGAGTCCTATACTCACAGCAGTTCAGTAAGTGACATCTGCTGTAACGACTGTTGGTTTGATTATTAAGCTTTGCTTTTCTCCAAGCTGACAATGGAAAATTATTAAAGGAAGCTAGTGTTTGTATCTTAGTCTTGAACTTTACTTTTAGCTTTTGCAGACTTAAAAGATAGAAACTAGGAAGTTTGGGCTTGTTTGTTGTTTCTTGCCTGACATGCTTTGGCACACCTACTGCAGTAGTAATACACAGTTTTATATCTGTTCTCCCAATACTTGCAAGTTTATCCACAGAACTCAAATTTTCCAAAGATTGGTCCTGTAAGTTAATGTTTGGAATATCGCAAACGTGAGGTAGTTCAGTGCAAAATAATCTGATATTTCTGTGACTTTGCTGTCTTGACAGCTCTAATTAAATGGCAGAATGACAACATTGTGGGGGATGGGACATTAATGGCAGGGATATAATTTAATTAAGTCAGTTTGCAAAATGAACATGGGCTGATTTTTCAGATAGTATTTTGTATTTGTGCAGTAAGCTGATAAATTACACTTATTGACAGAACTCATATGCAGGACCTGAAGGATGTCACTAACAACGTACATTATGAGAACTACAGAAGCAGAAAACTGGCAGCTGTTACATACAATGGTGTTGACAACAATAAAAATAAAGGGCAGCTAACAAAGTAAGTTCTTGTTAAGGTTGTATTGCACTTTAATCTTTTTGCTCTGTTTTTTGTTTGGTTGGTTGGTTTTGTGTATGTGTGGTGGGATTTTTGGTTTTGGGTTTTTTTGGGGGGTGGTGGTTTTGTTTGTATTTGTCCTCCAATCAGTTGCCTCTTCAATGTGTTCTAGACTGAACACTGTATACTTCTGGTTTGCTTATGATCTGTTTTTTTTTTTAATTTCACTAAAGTTTACGCTAGTTTATCTGAACATGTTAAATAACTGGGTTTTAGTTAGATTCAGTTCTGAAGAGAATCGTTATATTTACTATTTCAGTTTATAAGTTTTATTTCACTGGTACTTATTGCAAAGTTGTGCGTTAGTGTTTCTATTTGAGTATATACTACTTTTGGAATTATTGGCTTTTTTGTCATGAATGCTCAATACTCAGTGTCAGGGACGCTTTTGAGAAGAAGAGGTTAATGTTTGTTTAGAGGTTTTCAAAATCCAGATGCACTACTGTCATCTTTGAAATGCTGCCCTGGCTACTTCTAGGGTTGCTTATCATGGCAGGGAAATTATTGCACCATCTTTATCTTTTGTGAGAGGAGAGTTGCAATGCAGGGTTTTTGGGTTTTGTTGTTGCTGGTTTTTTTAACCCTAGTATGTCATTTTAATTACTTCTGACAGCAAGTTGTTTGCCAACCTGATGAAATTCTTGGAAGATTTAAAAGTAGGCTCTATTGTATTTTTCATTTTATAATGCTATTTGAGAACAGCTATGCTCTTAAACTTAAGTGTTTCTCCTGCTCTACATGTGTCAACTGTATAAACAATTAGTGATTAAATAATTAGTAATTAGTGATACTCTTATTATTTTTTTTATTTGTACTATATTTAAATACAAATTTCTCAACCAAAATATAGGGTAGTACTCTGTTCGGTTAATGATATGCAAAATTGTAGTTGTTCTTCCTGAAAAAGATCCCTGAAATTAGATGGAAATATCTGCTATTCCCATCCGTATGACAGCTATGAAGCCATTTTTCACTAAAGGAGTGTCTATTCTACACTATCTTAATGCTTTGAAAGTGCCTGTCAGGGAATGATTTAGTTTCATCTAGTGTGACCCTACATAAGGCTTCCCTCCTCAGCATTAACAAAAAATATAATAGGGTATGTTAGTTGTATCAACTCTTCAAAAGTGTACTTAAATTTACGTAAAGTTTGTAGTGGGGTCAAGTCTTAAAAAGAATAGTCTTCAAATATGTGTATCCATAAGACAGTGGTTACTTCTTCTCACTGTCATGTTTCTTGCCATCACATTATCCCCAACTCGCATCTCAAGGCTTCTGAAGGCATATAGCAAGTATGTTATTCTCAAGCTACACTTGTCCTTATAACAGAGTGTGTTGGTAGTAGGGAGAGGAGGAGTTTTAAGAAGTAAAATTACTAAATGAGGTAGTCACTGTGGAAAAATTGGGGTGGGAGGCATGTAAGGTAGTTTGAACAAAACGGTGCAGGTGGGCACATTGGAGAAGAAAATGTGCTTGAGTGCAAGAACTTGAGTCAACTTTCTCTTTGCTGAGGTGATACTGTATTAACAGTAGTGCAGAATAGACTTCTAACTTGCTATTACTATACTTTTTTACTGTACTATTATTTGCGATTACTGTACTGAGAAGTCAAATTTTTAATTGCAATTTTGGATATCAGAGCAAATTGTTTTGATTTTTTTGTTTGGTGGGGGGTGGTGGTGGGGGTGTTTCATACTATTTTTTATCCCTTTCCAAATCTTTGTATGTTTTTCTTAGATTCAGAAAAATCTTAGTTTTACTGATAACACTTTCACAACTCTGTTTTCTGCCTGCTTAGATTTGTGCTAGTCTACACCTACAGACTTAGTCTGTTACCTAATTCAAGTAAGGATCGGTTATTCTGCGCTCTTCTTAAAAAGAATAACGCAATGATTTTTTTAAAATCTATTTTTTTTTTATTCCCAGATTGCAAACGTAACGATGCATTTTTGTATAAATGCATCTATGAGAAGGTTTCAAAACTGTTTTCATGTCGTTCATTCTTAGCATTGCTAAGATTTCCTTTTAAGGAAAGAGGGTCTGGAATTACTCTGCTTTCTGAAGCTTGCTTACTTTCACATCTCCTGCCATCTCAGGTCACTGTGCTGTCCCACCTGAATATTTCTGAGTAAACGTGCCTTTTGGAACAATTTTCTCCATAAGAAATCTGTCGCTCAGAACACTGCGGTACTGCAGCTCCTAAGTGAATAAATACAGCTGGTGCTCTTAGCGATCAGGTTTTCTTTTTTTCAAGAGAAGAAAAAAATTACCGGTTTGTTTGATTCAGCCATCTGAAAGATGGCAAAATCTATTGCAAACTTGTGAGAAATAGTTTGAACCTTTCCTTAGAGTTTGTTTCTCCAAACATAGGGTGACTTAATAAGTAAATAAATAAAATTCTTGAATGCATATACTGGTTTTGAAGTAGCTGATGGTATTCTTGTCTCGTTACCTTATCCGTATGTTGAGTTGCAGCATTTTTTTTAAGGTTTAACATGCTTTTTTGGCTTCAATGTGTTTTTGTAGTTTTGAATCTAGCATAGTTGAAGCAGCATAGAAGGAATTTTCCTAATAACCATGTGTCTTCCTGGAAATTAATTGAAAGAGGGAAGAGCAGATATTAACAGTTTATCTGTGCATCCCCTTAGGAATTTTGTGCTTTCCTTTTTGAAAGAAGTGTCTGTATCTCAAAATGGAGCAATATTTGACTTGTCCTCTGGAAATCTGATTCTTTCATGGGAGACAGATCCTATGTCTCTAGATGAGAATGGAGATGTGCTCTGATGCTATCTGGTGGTATTACAAGCATACTGTTAAACACAGATACAACCTCTGACTCTGGAAACTCCTAAGCTGCTGTTCTTTTGTAAGCCGGGAGGGTATACATAAGAGGAGATGTACATGCAGTGGTTCTTGCACTTTTCCAAAAGTATCTCCTACTGGTAGCTGTTGGAGACTGGATTGACCTTTTGTACTTTTAAAACAGCTCTATTTTTGTGATCTTAGCAGATTTTTGTTTTTCATGCAACTGTTAACATATTTCTTTGAACAAAAATGCAAACGTGAAAACAAATAGAAATATATGCTACAAGTTTTAATACTGTGCAGATGAATTGAAGCAGTTTCTTCTGTCCAGTTGATAATTTTCTCTCTGATTTGTCTCCTTTGATTTGGTGAAACTCTTAACTGACTATTCTACAGGTAACTCGTTGACCTAAGAGCAATCCAAAGCATGTATTTTCCATGATTATGTAGTTTTCTTGTATTTTAGGTTTAGTGTCCGATTTCTTCAAATTTTCAACATCATCCCAATCATTAAAAAAAATAAAATGTCAAGGGTAATCTTCAGATATATGGATAATTTGTCTCTTCAAACTATGTGGTAATTGTAATTTCACACGTGTACTATATGACGTGAGAAAATTGGCATTTGCTCTGAAATTTAAAATTTTTAACTTGAGAAATCTTTTCAGTTTGCTGTATGAAGCTGATATCTTCAGTGAGTTTAAAAGTAAAACCTTATTTTATTGAAAGTCGTATTGTACACGGTAAAGATGAGCCTTATCCATCTGCTCATCTGTTCAATAACCGGTCACACAGGGTAACAAAATACACAATGCATAGGTCCTTCTAACTGCTTAGCTTAGACTACTTCTAACTCCTTTTGCCTATATTCTTAGCGAGTTCTGTGAAATGGTTCTGATGTTATTAAGCCCATGTTACTATATGGTGAGACTTAGTATCAGACTCTTGTTTTCAGGCTGGTTTTTTCCCTCTTATAGTATTAGTGAAGTGCTAACACAAGGCATGCTCGGGTTAAGCATCATGCTCTGGGGAGGTGACACTGCAGCCAAGCCTTCTTCAGAGCTGAGCTCAGCCGCCGGTGAGACCTCTGCTGGCCATTGAAGTCAAGTGCTCTTTTTGTAGCACAAGAACTTTCATGGGTTTTTAATACAGTGTCCTTTACCAGGTGACAATTTTTAAATGAACAGATAAGCCTTGATACGGCATTGGTTTCCGAAAACTTGTTTAGACCAAGTGGTTGTTCATGTCACTAAAATAAATCACTTTAAAAGCATGCATATTCTAGGGAAACTATTCCTGAAAGTATCTGCACATCAAACCTGCATTAATTTACATGGTGTAGTGATTTACTAACTGAATTTGAAATAAATATAACAAGCTTTAACTAACAGTCTTTCCTTTTACTGTGAAAAATTTGCTTTTGGGGGAGCACATAATTAGCTTTAGGAATCTATTAATAATGAATTTACTTTTTTAATTATTGCTTTTTGGTTTTGTGGTTTTATTTAAGCATGCTAAGCTAAGCCTCTGTATTTTTTGTTTTTTAGATTTGACACAGTTGAAGGCATGTAAGTGGTCATTTAAATTTTTCCAAAAAGCTTAAAGACAAAAATTTTATAAAGACAAAAAGGGTTTCACTGTTTAATGTTTCAAATTTAAAACAGTTTCCTGTTATCCCGCTCTTGGCATTGTTTTTTTTCCCTAGCAGGTTTTTTTTTTTGTTCTAAAGCTGTCCTAATGTAAACTTTAGAAATTTATAAATACTTTCAGTGATAAATATCTCTGTAAAAACCCATCCTCTTTAGAAACGTTTTGGCTAAGCCTGAAGACAAATTTGGTCAAATTTCAACAATAAGTAGAAGTGCCTAAATTATGAAATTCCCCCAGTTTCTATCCGTAGCTCCCTCATCTTTGTATAAATGCTTATAAAGAATAAGTGGAATTTTCATCCTTATCTGTAAATTTACAACTCTTCATTGGATTGGGGAATTAGTTACTTTAATCTGTTCTGACCATGGTTTTATCTTATTACTGGCTCGCAGAGGTTCCACTTTTCACGTATCTAAATAATTTTTAATTTTTGCAGATTAATGTAAAGGGCTGTTTTAACATACATCCTGTTAAATCAGTTAAATGTTTTATATCTTTGTTTAGCGGTTTGGGTTTTTTTCCCTTCAGCTCTTTTTTTGTTCAAGTCCCTTGTACAGTTTTATCCTGAAATACAGGATGATGTGCTTTTACCCACATCACATGCTTAAGACCTAACAAAACCAGTTGTAACCTATGTTGTAAAGCTCTCAGCTGTAAATGCTCGCTTGTTAGTTTATCAAATTTTCTGTGCAGACTGATTTTTTACCACTTTCTCAAATACAGCTCACATGACGTCCCCATTAGCTTATTAGGTTGTCAATAGAAGGGACAGTTCAAGTCCTTTCAAGTCTGTAGAGACTGCAGCAATGATTCCTCGGTATTCAGATTTACTTCCTAGGTTAATTTTTGAAGAGCAGATACATTTGAGAACTTTACACTTCTAAAAGGTAACAAGAAAATAGTCTTGTTTTGACAGCTCGTTAGCTTCCACAAGTACTGCTACTCACCTCTTCTTTCATTTTCTTCTTATTTTTGTGTATTATTGTACTTCACCTGTGTTTAACCATTTTTTTTTCCTGACAAAAGGTCAAGCAGTTGGCCTTTTGAAGGGCTAAAGTAAACATTAGACTGAGGATCAGTTTCAGTTCCATATATTATCCAGCACTTTATTCACCAATCCAAGCTTTGCAGCTGTTAGTTCAGATTCAGTTTAAATTTTTTTTTTTTTTAATGGAAATGCCATTTTCTTCCTCCTCGCCCCCCACCAATTGTCATCTTTAAAATACTGGTATTTGAGGAAAAAGTTCATATGGCCGTGAGTTCATATGACATTGATTACTTTCACTGTTGGTTAGTTGGTGAAAATGGGAAAGCAGGAAGGATAAAATGAGCCATTAATAGTCAAACCAGATCTTAACTATGTTTGATATATAACCTTCATTCCTTTAAGAATGAGTGGCAAATTCTGAATCAAATAGACATTGCTAATTATGTTTCAGTCATCACTGAAAGTTAGTCAATTCTTTCTCCTTTTAGAATGCTTTTTCTGCATGATTTGAATCGGAACAGGGTTTTTCGTGTTTTTGGTTTTTTGTGGTTTTTTGGTTTGGTTTTTTTTTTGGTTTGGTTTTTAAGAAATGAAAACAAAATATTATTTTTGATAGGGCTTAGGCTTGCCACCTCTATTTTACAGTTTGCTGGTCTGAGTGACTTTTGCATACATTACAGTAGATATCCTCTGCTGGTTGATTGTAACAGTTCCAAATATATTCAGTTCTTCATATTTATCAATACGATAGTTAAAACTTTGTCATTTTAAGCCATACATACTCAAAACTGAAACAAGAGGCCAGTGATTTGTTTTGATTGCTCTTTGTTGAACAGCAGAAAAGTCTTACAAGACTGTATATAGCAATCATCACTAGATCAAAATCATCCTGTTTTATTGGATATTTAATGTGAAACTTGCTATTTAAAACCTGTGTCACCATAACATGGATAGCAGGCTTATACAGCATTAAAAATTAAGTAGAATCCAGGAAAGTATTTTTAATTTTTCTATGCACTTTATGGTAACTAATGTACATTATTTTTATACATTAAGTTTATTAATAGCTTTCTAAAGGAAAATCTTCCAACTAACGCTTTCATGAAATACTGATGTTCAGTTGCCCGAACCTTTTTTTTGCAAAGTTGCTATCTCTTCAAAAGTAAGACCACAGCGTTCAACACACCTTGTAATGTTAACTTACTCTTGGGCTCCCTTTGAACAGTGAAGATTTAGAGAGGAAATGGGGCTTTTGTCTGCAACGCTCTTAAAATTTTTATGTCCATTAATTTTTGTATATATTCGAACGGGAAAGAAAAAGACGCCTGAAGATCACTTGGAAAATGCTAATTTTTTTTTTTGTTGTTGTAACTTTGATTTCCTCTCTTCCCATGACCAGGTTCTACTAAAGATAGAAAGTCAAGAGTTTCTGTTAACCTAAATGTAATGTAAATCAATTGTGGGAGAGGAAAAGATACTGTATGAAATGTCTTTTTGAGGAAAGCTTAACTAAACAGTTAATATAATAATGCAGATTGAATTTTAGCTTAGCAGTGCATACAGCGATGTTACTTATCTTAATGCTTCAGCTTTTTTATCTTGTTTTTTACAGATGCCCTAAAGTAACAGGGAAAAAAGTTCTTATTAGCTAACTTCTTCTTCTGGATTTGTGGCAGGAGCCCGTTGGCACAGATGGAGGAGGAAAGGAGGGAGCATGTAGCCAAAATGAAAAAAATGGAAATGGAAATGGAACAGGTGTTTGAGATGAAAGTCAAAGAAAAAGTTCAGAAGCTGAAGGACTCTGAAGCTGAGGTAATCGAAATGTCTTAAACCCCAATATGCTTGAGGCTGAACAAGTGTAGAGATGGCTCTTTTTGCTAAGACTTTGCAACATAGCCTCTGTCTAGGAATTGATTCCATAGTTAGATTTTTATGTTTAAAGACAACTCAGTTATTCTTTCTCAGCTTGTTGTCTTTGCTGAAATGGTATAAGCCCAAACTTAAAACGTAATTTTAATGTTCACATGCATTTTTTTTTTTTATTTTCACAGTCACAGTATGTTAAAATACTCCTTAACTTTCTTACTCACCCTCTTTTTCTCCCTTTTCTTTGGAATATTTTATGCCTGTTTTCTTCCATGTGATTTAAAAAGTTCTTGAGACTTTGATGGTTTACATAAGCTAATGTAGTAATGATAATTTGCTTTGCATATTAAAAAAGCATTTCAGGAATTTGATAAGATGTCTGTAAGAAATCATCTCAATGAGAATTACTAGACTAAGAAAGAGTCAGGGATATGGTGTTGTCAGTGTTTTGGTGTCATTTGAACATATATAAATTTTATGGATATTTAACTCCGATTTCTGTCATCTCCAGGCAAAGTCCTCACAGTGAAACTGTTTTTTGTGGGCTTCAAGCAGCTCTTGAAGTGATCTTTTTAAGAGACTATTATAAAATTACATTTAAGTAGAAAATTAAGTTTTGAGAAGGCAGCTTCTCAGAAGAAGCCTAATAGAGAAGTTCAAAAATGTCAAAGTTCCTAAAGAAAGTTTGGCTCCAAATTTGAGGGAAAGTGAGGAAACTTGGAAGGGTAGTTGAAATGCTTGGCAGCCTCGGCATTGTAAGGAGCCAAGGCATGCTGGATCAGAGGAAAAAAATGTATCAGTCTAGATTTTTTTTTTTTTTTTTTTTTTGAGATGCGGATAGATAAGGATATAAATGCTAAGATACGTCAGTCAGCAATTTGCGGATTTTAAAAGCTAGATGCTTTATCTGGATCACAGTGTTTAATTAGTCACTGGATTTATCCTTCCTCAATTTCTGTCTCAAATCTTTTTGAACCCATTTATGCTTCTAGCCTCCTTGTTATATGAAAAACAAACAAACAAAAATCTTTCTTTTTCATGTACTGCCTTGTGACTTTTTGACTGAGTGCATCCTGTGATATCAGTTTTTAGATGCTCATGCAATTCATTCTTCTTTTTCTTCACCATTCATGACTTCGTAAACCTCTGTTGTATTTCTCTAAATGTAGAAAAGTAAGCAATAGACAGTGCTGAGTATAAGGCATTTAAAAAATCTGTGAAAGGAAATATGTTTTGAAGGGTTTGTGTAAGACAGGGACTTGCAAGAGAGTAAGGAAAGAGGGAGTTTTATTTAACTCTGTTCAAAAACGTGCTACACCACACAAAAGGAATCACTTTTCCTGACAGTGTCTCCATTTTCCTGACAGTGTCTCCATTCTTACATAGAACATATTGGATTGTCAGTCTGTCCCATCAACTTGTAGGAGAGACTTCTTGTATTGTTCTGGCAGTGTAGACAATTCACTCCAATAATACTAATAATAATTCAGTTAGTGAATAAATTAATCCTTAATGTTTTCCCAAATAGATCCTTAATATAGTTAATACTATAGGATGAAATCAATGTTTTGGGGTTTTTTCCCCACGCAAAGTCAAAGATGCTGCTAATTTATGCATTGCTGATACTCAAATGCTCTGCAATTTGCGTCTTAACATTTGCATCAAATACCAAAACGTTCTTGAATTTCCTTTTGTTTGCCACATGTAGCTGCTTAAAACTCCTGTTTATAACTCGAGCAGCGTTTGGGGTGTTTTCTGTTAACTGTAAAATGAGGCTATGGGATTAATACCCTTTTTGTTTCTGTTATTGGCAATACCTATAATCTTAAGAGTTTTTGGTCTAAGAGTTGCTTTCTCTGAAGAGAAAATATAATACTATATTTTCTTGCATTAGTATAGTTGCTGATGTTTGTTACTACAGCTCCAAAAGTCGCTGTGTTTTCTGCGCTTACTGACTGTTCATAACTTCTTCTATAGTTGCAGCGACGCCATGAGCAAATGAAAAAGAATTTGGAGGCACAACACAAAGAATTAGAGGAAAAGCGTCGCCAGTTTGAGGATGAGAAAGCAAACTGGGAAGCTCAACAACGTATTTTGGAACAACAGAATTCTTCCAGGTAAATTGGAGTCTTGTTCTGCAGTTCACAGGAAATGTTCTGTAGCTTTCTGCTGAAAGGCAATTTCTGTGGTAATAATGGTCAGTGGTGGTTGACCACTAAGGAAGCATCATTTAAAAGCCAAGAAAAATCTTGAACTGCTTTTAGTTACTAATGAGCATATAATCAGAAATATTGGGAAGATTATTAGCTTCTAAAGCAGATTTTAATGTGCAAAACCACTGTATCCATACATAACTAGATCTATCTAAAAAATTATGTTTGTATTTGAAATCTAGATTGCATCAGACTTCTGAGGGATGAAGAATTAAAGCTTTGAGATTGAAAGCGTTTAATTCTAGTCCTTGGAAGGGGAAATCTAGTGATAAATGCATTGCTTGACTTCATGTAGTACAAGTACTGTGTACATAATAAGTTTCATACATTGTATTGCAACCAGTAAAGCTTTATAAAATGCATATTTTGCAAGATGTATATTAGTGATTTTAAAAAAAAAAAATCAGAGCATGTATGCATTATTTAACAGACTTTTTTTATATCATTTTAGAACCTTGGAAAAGAATAAGAAGAAAGGGAAGATATTTTAAATGCATCATTTTGACCACCAGTTATGTATTAGTTGCCAATATGCCAGCCTGGACATCAGTGTTTGTTGGATCCGTTTGACCAATTTTGCACCAGTTGTATCCATAGTAATGGATTTAACAGCATGACAAATTTTTGTTAATTTTGATGGAGAATGAGATGCCTTGAATTGTCTAGGGTGTTGTGTACTTGGAAAAATAACAGATCTAAGTACCTTTTTTTTTTTCCTTGTTTTTTTTAAACAGATGTCATTTTAATGCAAAAGAAAACATTTTACTGTTGTACAATCATGTTCTGGTGGTTTGACGGTTTACAGGATATTAAAAAATGCAAGGACTCTAGACGGTTTTTAGTGAGGATAAATTGCCATAATATGATGCAAACAATGCTTCTCTATTATTATAATACAAGAATTCCATTCAGTGCAGCATATACAATAATGTAATTTAGTCTAACACAGTTGACCCTATTTTTGACACTTCCATTGTTTAAAAGTACACATGGAAAAACAAAAGTTGTAGGCTTACAGTGCACCTAAGCTTTTTTTATAACAACCCTTTTATGTTTTGGATTCTTTAAATATATGCTATTCTCATTTAGTAACTTCTTTAGCCAGAAGGATCTCATTACTGCTTCATTTTTTGTAATAACATTTAATTTAGATATTTTTCCATATATTGGCCCTCCTAAATAGAATATAGCTTCTTTCATATGGTAGGAACCAGTGAGTAAAACTTTCCTTTAACTCCCTTTTTACATTTTATGGTAAGTAGCAGGAAAACGCATTTATAGGTCATTTCTAGGCGGAATTGTGGAGTTAACTACCAACCTGTTTCTACCTGTGTGCAGTCTTTCTTTATTTTACTAGAAATGGGAATATGGCCTCAAGAAAAACATCACCATTTCGCATTTAGCTGTATTCATATACTGCATTTCTGTATTTTTGTTTGTATTGTAAAAAGTCACATAATAAACAATGTTGTGATGTAACATGCTACTGTGTCAGAAATTTTGAAGGAGTTAAAAGAGCCAAGTACTTCTTTGGGAAATGTTTGAACTTTCTCTCTTCCATCCAGACTTGATTGACCTGTGTCTTTGATTTGTCCGAGGAATTAGTTTAAGGTCTAGAAAATGCCTTTGCATTGTGGAATTGTTAGAAAATCCAGTTTCAGTGGCTGTGCTCTGAATTGGCAAAACAAGGGTCTGTCTTGCCCAGGAGAGGGCACCAAGTGTCCACACCACTGTGCTGTGTCCCACGAGCTCCGGCTTCGGTAGTCACGCCTTCGCGCCTTCTGCACTGTCTCTTAGGCCTTCTGCAAGCTTTTATGCGTGTCTAGTGAGGTTGCTGTGTAACACATTCGCAGCCTCTTCAGGTACTTCTGTTAAGCTCATTGGCAAGGGTGGGGGTTTTGGTTTTGATTTTAGTTAATTGAGTCAGTTTTAATAAATAGCCAGGAACTTGGTATTTAAAATACAACCTGTAAGTTGTTAAAAAAAAAAATCATGGGGACTTTTAATGTCTGTCTTTGCCTGTGAAACAATGAAGAATGGCTCAGTTTTTGCAGATGTTCCTTGTATTATCCCTGCTATCGCTCTGTTCCTGTTCATTTCTTTTTACATGTGTTATGCTTATCAGAAATATCATTTATTCAGATAGAGCTTCCCAATGAAATGAAGATGTTTTCAGTAGTCTGTATAAAGGCCTCCTTATAACTCATTTCAAATATTCTGCCTGTCTTTTTTTCAGAGAAGACACGGATTATCGGTAAGTGAACATAGCTTTCCCTTTCAAGTAAACAGAATAGCAAAATCTCATCTTTTAATATATCACGGAGAATGTACACCACCTGCGTCTGCCTCCCACTGCCTCAGGTTTCAGTTTAATTCAATAAACTGAATAACGTAAAGAACAGGCAGAAGTTACCATATTGGACAGAAGCTGCAGATTCTGAATTGCTTTTAGGAATCATCAAAATTCAGGATATACTTTCTGTGGATATGCTTGTGCTTTAACATTCCCATTTGCTCTGAAATAAGGATTTCATTTATCAGGAAACTTGTTTTAATCATGCTTGTCTTCTTTCTCCCCACTCCTATTCTCTATCCTCCCACACACACACTTAGGATAATCAGAAACTAGTATATGCTCTTGTGAGATTTTTTTTTTTTTTTTTTTTTTGGTTGAGGGCACATAGATATTCTGTAACATAGCATTTGTATCTGAATGAAAATTTAGAGCATATAGAAATCAAGTGTTCTGAGTTCTCTTCTGAAATGGAGCATTGTCCCGATGGGAAGACTTTTGTCACCTCTTAACTTGTTTCTTAAATGCCTTGGCTTTTTATGGTAAGTTTGGGCTGCACCATAAGAGTATGAGTTTGAAAAAGAATCCTAATTTTTGGCAGATTCTCTGCACTCTCTAGTTGTGTGTGGTTTTTTTAATTTAAAAAAAAAAAAAAAAGAGAATAGGAGGCATAACCCTGTGCAGCTTGCAATATAGTAGCTGTGTAGCCAATAAAAAGTCTATGAGCTAAAGAGGTACTACAATACAGCCCAGGATTTTTTTTCTTCAGCTGAATAAATCATAATCTAAATGTGTTATTTCTGTAAAGTCGGAACTCATTTTACTTGCTAACAAATAGGTACTTAAATTTCCCTGTATGTGTATCACAACTCAGAGTACGTGCAGCAGAGGTTTTGTGGTGTGTATGCTAGTTGGTCAGAAACCTGTTGCATCCAGATGTCTCCGGACAGTACTAGACTCGTCTCTTGTTTCCCTTGCGGTATGCTGTGAAACATTACCTGCTCTACTGAGGCACAAAGTAAGAGGTATTAAAGAGCAGTTCTGTACATCTGCTGCATGTTTCTATAACAGTAGTTGTTAGAATAATACAGTCTAGTCTTCAGGCAGTCATGAGGCTGGAAATTTTGCTACTCTGTTTTGGAATGAAGATCTCAATTCAGCTTAGAGTGTGTTCTGTTAAAGAGGTAGTAAGGAAGAGAAAATAATTCTCGTCCTGTCAAGCATGGCACTGAAAACAGCCCTGTTGAATGTGCAACTGCACTAGCCCATACATTTATATGGGGGTGTGGGTATATTTACTTTTATATAGAGATAGATTGAAAATGCATCTATATTTTTATATATGAAAAAGTGAATAAAGACTGCAAACTTGGGACTTTCTTCTGATGTAAAATACATTCCCATATTGGGTTACTTATCTGGCTGACCACGGTTCAGGTTCAGCATCCTAAGTCTCTGGATGCTAACATTCC